TGTAGAAAAATAACATAGAAATTTTTTAAAAAAAATCATTAATTGATTTGACAGAATTAAGATTGAATCAAAAATTGAAGAAAAAAAAAACTTACAAAGTATTAAGAAATTAAAAAAAAAACAGTCTCTTTACACTAATAAGTCAGTATTAATTAAAAAGATAAATAGACAAAAATATCTATAACTTATAAACGTGGCATGAAACAAAACAATAAGACTTTTTTTTGAAGATGAGAGATGGAGATTGAGAAAGAGAATCATAATTGCTTTGACGTATGTGGTTTGATAGATTAGAGAAATGAAACTGAAATAGTTGATTGATTTTACTAGAGTTGGTATTTAACATGTAAAAACATATATTGAAAAGTGGAGAAAAAACGTGCAATGTGATAAGAAATTGGAAAATCCGTCCATTGTTATCTTTAAAGATAGATAATGACTTAATAACGTTGGAAACAAGTGAAAAATAGTTGATTGATTTTACCATAATTAGTATTGAACATGTAAAAACATATATTGAAAAGTGGAAACATATATTGAAAAGTGGACAAAAAAACGTGCAAAGTTTTAAAAAATTGGAAAGTCCGTCCATTATTTTCTTATCTTAAAGGGTAGATAATGACCCTTATGTAGAAAAATAAAATCGAAAATAAAACATCGATTTGATAGAATTAAGATTGAATCAAAAATTGGAAGGAAAAAAAATATTGAAAGTATTAAGAAAAGTGATAAGAAATTGGAAAACCCGTCCATTATTTTCTTAAAGGGTAGATAATGACTCTTATGTAGAAAAATAAGATCATCAGTAATTGATTTGATAGAATTAAGATTGAATCAAAAATTGGAAGAAAAAAAAAACATCTAAAGTATTAAGAAATTAAAAACACAGTCTCTTTACAAGTCAAATAAGACTTTTTTTTTTAAGATGAGAGATGGAGATTGAGAAAGAGAATCATAATTGCTTTATTATATGTGGTTTGATAGACCAGAGAGATGAGACTGAAATAGTTGATTGATTTTACTAGAGTTAGTATTGAACAAATTGGAAAATCCGTCCATTGTTTTCTTAAAGATAGATAATGACTCAATAACGTTGGAAATGAAAACTAATTAATTGATTTGATAGAATTAATATTGAATTAAAATAAATAAATAAAAAAATATCCTAGATTTATAACTTTGGAATAAAGCAAAACAAGGTCTAATTTTTCTAATGTGTGACTATTATGCTTTCTAATGTGTGACTATTATGCAAAAAAGCATAATGTGTGACTATTATGCTTTACAAGTCAAATAAGACTTTTTTTTGAAGATGAGAGATGGAGATTGAGAAAGAGAATCATAATAGCTTTGACATATGTGGTTTGATAGACGACTTGCATTCAATTTTGTTTGTGTCACTATTATGCAAAAAGTAATATTAAAAATGAAAAATAATAGTATTGAACATGTAAAAACATATATTGAAAAGTGGAGAAGAAACGTGCAAAGTGATAAGATATTGGAAAATCCGTCCATTATTTTCTTAAAGATAGATATTGAATCTTACGTAGAAAAATAACGTTGGAAATCAAAACTAATTAATTGATTTGATAGAATTAATATTGTATTAAAAAAAATCTAAAATATTAAGAAATTGAAACACTAATATCTTTAAAATAATAAATCAAAATTAATTAAGAAATAAATAGACAAAAAAATATCCTAAATTTATAACTGTGCCATAGAGCAAATCAAAGCCTAATAAGACGAGCAAATCAAAGCCTAATAAGACATTTCCGATGTGTGACTATTATGCAAAAAGTAATATTAAAAATGAAAAATAGTTGATTGATTTTATTAGAGTGAGTATTGAACATGTAAAAACATATATTGAAAAGTGAAGTAAAAATGTGCAAAGTATTAAAAAATTAGAAAGTCCGTCCATTATATTTCTTAAAGGGTATATAATGACATTATGTAGAAAAATAACATAGAAAATTTAAAAAAAAAATCATTAATTGATTTGACAGAATTAAGATTGAATCAAAAATTGAAGAAAAAAAAAACGTACAAAGTATTAAGAAATTAAAAAAAAAAACAATCTCTTTACACTAATAAGTCAGTATTAATTAAGAAAAGAGATAAATAGACAAAAATATCTATAACTTATAAACGTGGCATGAAGCAAAACAATAAGACTTTTTGAAGATGAGAGATGGAGATTGAGAAAGAGAATCATAATTGCTTTGACGCATGTGGTTTGATAGATCAGAGAAATGAAACTGAAATAGTTGATTGATTTTACTAGAGTTGGTATTTAACATGTAAAAACATATATTGAAAAGTGGAGAAAAAACGTGCGATGTGATAAGAAATTGGAAAATCCGTCCATTGTTATCTTTAAAGATAGATAATGACTTAATAACGTTGGAAACAAGTGAAAAATAGTTGATTGATTTTACCATAATTAGTATTGAACATGTAAAAACATATATTGAAAAGTGGAAACATATATTGAAAAGTGGACAAAAAAACGTGTTAAAAAATTGGAAAGTCCGTCCATTATTTTTTTATCTTAAAGGGAAGAAAAAAATATATTGAAAGTATTAAGAAAAGTGATAACAAATTGGAAAACACGTCCATTATTTTCTTAAAGGGTAGATAATGACTCTTATGTAGAAAAATAAGATCGAAAATAAATCATCAGTAATTGATTTGATAGAATTAAGATTGAATCAAAAATTGGAAGAAAAAAAAAACATTTAAAGTATTAATAAATTAAAAACACAGTCTCTTTACAAGTCAAATAAGACTTTTTTTTTTTTTAAATGAGAGATGAAGATCGAGAAAGAGAATCATAATTGCTTTGATATATGTGGTTTGATAGACCAGAGAGATGAGACTGAAATAGTTGATTGATTTTACTAGAGTTAGTATTGAACAAATTGGAAAATCCGTCCATTGTTTTCTTAAAGATAGATAATGACTCAATAACGTTGGAAAAGAACACTAATTAATTGATTTGATAGAATTAATATTGAATTAAAATAAATAAATAAAAAAAATCCTAGATTTATAACTTTGGAATAAAGCAAAACAAGGTCTAATTTTTCTAATGTGTGAGTATTATGCCAAAAGTAATATTAAAAATGAAAAATAGTCGATTGATTTTACTATAGTTAGTATTGAACATGTAAAAATATATATTAAAAAGTGGAGAAAAAAACGTGCGAAGTGTTAACAAATTGGAAAGTCCGTCCATTATTTTCTTAAAGGGCAGATAATGACTCTTATGTATAAAAATAAGATCGAAAATAAAACATCAGTAATTGATTTGATAGAATTAAGATTGAATCAAAAATTGGAAGAAAAAAAAAACATCGAAAGTATTAAGAAATTAAAAACACAGTCTCTTTACAAGTCAAATAAGACTTTTTTTGAAGATGAGAGATGGAGATTGAGAAAGAGAATCATAATAGCTTTGACATATGTGGTTTGATAGACGACTTGCATTCAATTTTGTTTGTGTCACTATTATGCAAAAGTAATATTAAAAATGAAAAATAGTTGATTGATTTTATCAGAGTTAGTATTGAACATGTAAAAACATATATTGAAAAGTGGAGAAGAAACGTGCAAAGTGATAAGAAATTGGAAAATCCATCCATTATTTTCTTAAAGATAGATATTGAATCTTACGTAGAAAAATAACGTTGGAAATCAAAACTAATTAATTGATTTGATAGAATTAATATTGTATTAAAAAAAATCTAAAATATTAAGAAATTGAAAAACTAATATCTTTAAAATAATAAATCAAAATTAATTAAGAAATAAATAGACAAAAAAATATCCTAAATTTATAAGTGTGGCATAAAGCAAAACAAAACCTAATAAGACTTTTCCAAAGTTTGACTATTATGCAAAAAAAGTAATATTAAAAATGAAAAATAGTTGATTGATTTTACCAGAGTTAGTATTGAACATGTAAAAACATATATTAAAAAGTGGAGTAAAAACGTGCAAAATATTAAAAAATTAGAAAGTTCATTATTTTTTTAAAGGGTAGATAATGACTCTTATGTTGAAAAATAACATAGAAAATAAAATATCATTAATTTATTTAAGACTGAATCAAAAATTGGAAGAAAAAAAACGTTCAAACTATTAAGAAATTAAAAAAACAGTCTCTTTACACTAATAAGTCAGAATTAATTTTAAAAAAGAGATAAATAGACAAAAATATCTACAACTCATAAACGTGGCATCAAACAAAACAACGTCAAATAAGAGTTTTTTTTAAGATGAGTGATGAAAATTGAGAAAGACAATCATAATACTTTAACATATGTGGTTTGATAGATGAGAAAAATGAGACTTCCATTCAGTTTTGTTTTTGCGACTATTATGCAAAAGTAATATTAAAAATGAAAAATAGTTGATTGATTTTCCAATGAGTTAGTATTAAAGATGTAAAACATATATTGAAAAGTGTAGAAAAAACGTGCAAAGTATTAAAAAATTGAAAAGTCCGTCCATTATTTTCTTAAAGATAGATAATGACTGTTATGTAGAAAAATAAAGTTGAAAATAAAAAATAATTAATTAATTTAGCAAAATTAATTTTGAATTGAAATAAAAAAATCAAAAATATTAATAAATTAAAAAATTAATCACTTTAAAATCATAAATCAAAATTAATTAAAAAAAAAGACAAAAAAACATCCACAATTTATAATGACATAAAGCAAAACAAGGCTAAATAAGACTTTTTCAAATCATATTATTTCTTATTATAGATAATCGATAATTTACATTTTGATGTTTATTCAACCGACTTGTTTCCAATTTATAACCGTGGTGTAAATGAATATTGAACAATTTCATAGCCTTATGATTCAACCGACTTGTTTTTCATTTCTAATTATAAATAAACCAGTATCAGCATCTAACAACTTTACGACAAAGAAATTACCAGTAAAAAACAAAAATCCAAATCAAATTAAATCAAGAACACCATGAAACTCAGACTCAGATCTTTCGAATCCAAAGAAACCCTGAAAATCGAAGTTCCCGATCCATGTTCTCTTCAACAACTCAAACACACAATTTCTACCATACTCCCTTCTCCTTCCTCTTCCTCTTCCTCTTCTTCTCTTCATCTTTCCCTCAACAGAAAAGACGAAATCGACGCTTCTTCTCCCACCGATTCCCTCCACTCACTCGGCATCGCCGCCAGCGACCTCATCTTCTACACCTTCAACCCCAACGCCTTCTCTAGCGAAACCCTCCCCCACAAACCCGCCGCAGAAAAGCCTCCGACTTTGGCAGAAAAGCCCGCCGTAGTGAAAACCCTAGAAATGGTGGATGTGTCCGACGAAACCGTGGCGTTGGTGGAGAAGAACAATCCCGAACCTGATTTTGTGAAAAAGATTCTTAAAGAAGCGCTTGGCGATGGTGGTAGCGATTTCAAACTTTTGGTGTTCGCGGTTCATGCTGTTATTCTCGAGTCTGGGTTTGTTCGTGTTGATCGAGATTCGGGTAAGGCGATTGATGATGTATCTTCTTCTTCAATGATATCTTTGAGGTATACGCTTCCTGAGATTGTTTCTAAAGGTTTATCTCATGCTGTGGGTTTAAAAATTCAAACTTTAGGGAATTTTGTGAATGTTTATGGTTCATTGTGTGACGATGTTGGCTCTAGGGTTCATAGGGTTTATTTAGATAAATTTAGATTTGCTAAGCCTTTGGAGTTGATGCTGGCAAATTCTGAACCTAATGCTAATGCTAATGCTAGTGTTAGTGTTAGTGTTAGTGGTAATGATAATGATGGTGGTGATGATGAAGTTTTTGAATTGTGGAAGATAGTGAAAGATAAGCTTGCATTGCCACTTTTGATTGACCTTTGTGATAAAGCTGGATTGGATCTTCCACCTTGTTTTATGCGACTTCCGATGGAGCTTAAGCTTCTGATATTTGAGTTTCTTTCGGGTGATGATTTGGCCAAAGTGTGTTGCACTTGTTCGGAGTTGTCGTACCTTGCGTCGAATGATGAGTTATGGAGGAAAAAGTTTGAAGAGGAGTTTGGACATAGGATGAATGGTATGAAATTTTTTAAGAACTTGTTTGCACATTATCGGGCATCGAAGAAGAAATCAGAAAAACCACCTCTACCTTTTCGAAATCCTCGTTTTTTGGGATACTTTCAGAGGAGAAGAGGTCCTGTTCCTTTTGGAATGCCTCCTATTTGGGGTGGTGAGTATGATCTGCAGCCAAATTTTGGTGTGAATCTCCCCCCTGCATACCCACCCAGGCGAACTTTCTTTCCTCATTGTCATTTGGGAGAATTTTGATGAATAATCCAATAAGTCGAAGTGCTGGGACTTTGCTAGATTGAATACATGATAAATAACTGGTTGTGAATGATGTAATAAGATTTATAAAATGTTGTTCCTTTTGGTTATACATTTTGAATAGAATCCATGTATGTATGGTGTTAGAAGGAAGTAATTGTTTCTCAATGTCTTTGGTTCCAATTTTTGGGTAAAAACCAATTTCTGTTCAGCATCATGTAGATGATGTTTCATAATAATTTTTCCAATAATGCAAAATGGAACCACATGTTTTTGCTGTTTAGATATTTTCAGTGTCACCGAGGCTTGTTCAGGACATGTTTTTGCTGTTTAGATATTTTCAGTGTCACCGAGGCTTGTTCAGGACATGTTTTTGCTGTTTACAAGCTGTTATGTTATAAAGTAATAGTCCCCATAAGGGTTAACATGAGGTTATAGGAATCACATTCCAACATGGAATAACATTTTGTATTCTTTGTAGCTCTTACACATCTTAAAAAAGGTACGTGTGTGTTGGTGGCGGATACCAACACATATCGACAATTCAGTTCAGTGTCGGCGATGTGTCTGCCGGGTCTGTGTTCATACTTATTTTTGTTGCCCCAAAGTTTCATTGGAAACACCCGAAGTGGAAGTGTGGCTGCAGTTCCAAACAAGCATTTAGCTTCTCTGTTGCGGCTACAGTCTTATTGGTGTATGCTTGAATTGCTAACCTAAATACTTGGTAAATGATGGTTGTAGTTTTGGTATTTCGTTGCATAATGTGGTACAAGTTTTATGTTTGGCATGATCAAAGTTAATCTGTACTTGTCTTATTCCTTCTATTAGCATAGTTTTGTTTTTCAAAAGAAGTTAAAATAGACATCTTATCGGGATAGAGAAACTACACTCCACATGTTGAACCGTCGTCACAATACCAAAAGTCCAATGTGGGAATTGATATTATTCTCTGTGTCTTACACTAACGGATCTCACCCGATCCAAAACTGAGAAAACTGCTTCAAATAAAGGTAAGCGGATGGTTTTAAATGGTAGGTCAGGTTATGTGGGTTGTCCAATTAATTTCACTTGAGTTTGTTTGGATTGGGCTGGATGATAAAAATTGAACCGTGTAAATTCAAATCCATCCGAAACTAATGCTTCTTTTTAATAATTATTTATGAAAATTTATTAATTTACCCTGATATTCTTAGCTACCTAACATTTTTTTTTGTTTCTTTTTGAAGTGTATTTCCGGATCTACCTTTTCTTTTTCTTTACGTTGGATGTTTTTGGAGAGATGTTTATGGAAAATTTTCGTAGATGCATCTTCGAAATCTTATCAGAATAGGATTTTTTTTAAAAATTCAGTTTTGTTCGTCGCAGATGGAAATTAACTGTCATAAACATCATCAATGTCATTAAAATATAGTACATTAAAAAAACACAACGGTTATTAGTGTGTGTCTGACAACATCTTCATCCTCTCTTCTGCCTATGTCTGCCGCCTCCTCTGCCTCTACCGCCTCTTCGACCATCTGGTCTGCGTTCTCGGTCATCGATCCCATTCGTCATATCGCGATGTCTGCACTACATAAGTGACCCTTGTGCCAATGCAATACTCACATCCATTATACGTCTGTGGTCAGACTCTCAAGGGAGAAATTGACGCCAATGTTTGTCCGTCACATCTATCTGACGACAGCGAGGTAGGACTTCTTGAGTGCGGTCCAACTGAGACTGTTGCTCCTCTAAAATCTTCTGATGAACTGGTTTGAACGGTGATCCTTCTGCAGTGGGCACCATGTAGAGGTGTGAGACAGTGAAGAATTATATGATGTAGCCATCAACGTAGCTCTAGTCTCTCGTCGCTTTGTCGTCTGAGTCTCGTCCGGTACCATGTGTATTTGATAGTCAGCATAGATTTCATCTATCTACATACTGGTTAAGTCGAGAGGAGCAGAGACAGTTGGGTGTTTGGGTATCCTTTGTTTGTATTCGAACTGCCGTATGACGTGCTCAGACAAAATAAAACAGTGATGTTCAAACTGCATGTCAAGCATCTTGAGAATAGTGAGATGTCATCAAACGGACGTGTCACACAATGATCATTATAGACGTTGTATTAGCTGTTCTCAACATCCAGGCGATCGAGACTGACTTTCTAAGGGTCGATCGCCAGGTTCCCCTGAGCGGGAGAAAGACAAGGGTACACGACATCAGTTCTGTGTAATCAGGCACACTCTCCCATTCGACGATCATGGGAAAGTGCTAGAATATTCAAGCCTGAAATGAAAATAAAAAACATCATAATCAAGCATTATCACGAATATATAATGAAAAGAAATGAAAAAAAGTTGAAGGATATAAGATTGTTACCACAAGTAGTGACACGCTACTTGCCACAACCCTGGTCTTCTACAGGTATCTCTCTCCCAATTTCAAATACGTGTATGCCAGAGTAGCTGCCCCCAGATGTACTCATAGATTTGTGTGGAATCTAAAAAGTACTTAAAGAAAGCGACATCGGTATATGTGGAGCTCGTGTACACAAACAGCTAAGTGCTGACTAATAAAAAATAACACCTTAACACACGTTGCCTGTGCATCTCAACCTCAGTTAGATCACCATATGCCTGACGTGCAGAAGCGAGTGCCTCACCAAAACAACGCGTCAGAAGGAGAACTTCACATGAGTCCCTCTAGTCTTATCCACCTCCTCAAGTGCATTCAGTGGATCCGTTCCGAGCTCCTTTACTAACATCTCTCTGACATCCTCCTTCGTCATTCTATGACAGAAGAGGGTACTTTTGATTGGTATATGTAATAGACAGGAGATGTCGTTCAATGTAATCGTGATCTCGCCGTGTGGTAGATGGAAGGGGCACATCTCAGGGTGTCATCTCTTCGTAAAGTCCATCAACATTCCATTATGGATAAGGTCGTAATCGATCTCACGAAGTTCTTTCAAACCAGAGGCGACAAGGATGTCCTAGAACCAAGCCTTTTGTGGCTAATCCAAAGTTAATATCTTCCGTCCATGGTTATAGATTTTCTGCGGATGACAAGTCTGAAAATTTCCATAAATAACAAAAAATGTTAATAAGAAACAATTGTACAAGTTACAATGAGTAATGTTACCTCTCCATCAAAGACATGTCTGGCAGTGTGGTCAGCATACTCTGTTAGCAGGGACATATATGAGGGACCACTTAGGAAACCATCAGGCTCATCATTATCGTCGTCAACAAATCCTCTGGTGGTGGGTCATCACCCCCTGGAAGTGGCACCAGATCAACATCATCGACAGGAGGAGGAACATGAGTATCTCGATGAGGTCTGCGGGAGGATGATGCCTGTGATGAATCCTTAGTTGAATCCCAAAGCCTTCGGGATGAAGAAATGGATGACGGGATGAGATACAAGATCGAGGGAGTGTCCTGGGCATGTGATGAAGAAGGTTGTGCAGTAGGATGTGCCTTAGCTGTATCGACCTCGATAACGGTGGTTTGGCTCCGCTCGCGATAACAAATGCATGTTGTGAAACTCGTTCAAGTCGTAATCTATAGTCTCTGTCTTACATAACGTCTATAAGGTATAACCTAGAAAAGACAATTAGACACAAATAAATTAAAAAATAAAAAAGAATAAAAGTTAATTTTTTTATACTTTCGGATATGGACACACACAAAAATTTGATAGATGTATCTACGGAAGTATCCATAATTCACAACGTTTGATTTGTTTCGGAGATGCATCTGCGAAATTGTCCTAATGTTAATTTGTTCCGTAGGTGTAGTTTCGAAACTTTCTGCAATTTTAACAGTCACGACAATGATATCTCCTACCCATGAAAATCAATTTTTTGAAGCCCAGATCGTCCGTTTAAGCTAATAAATAATACCTATATTGTCTTTAAACTATGTTTCTAAGACTATCTAAGGATTCCCACCCCTAAATATATGTTCTAACTCGTTTATGCGAAATACTCTAAAATAACTTGGAAATTTAAAAATTTATCGATTATATTGAGCTTTGAATGATTTGAAGTGTCTTGATCGTTGAGATGAATGCTCCTTGTTGAAGTCGATTGAGAAAAAAATTAAGTTTAGTGAAAAATATTTTTTTAAAGATTAAGAGAGTTTGGAGAGTTTGAGAGTGAAGAAGATGAAACATGAAGATTGAGAGAGGATAAGGGACTCTGGCACGAATGCATTCTAATATGTTCCGGAACTATATAAACGAAAACATTTTGTAGATGCAGCTCCGGAAAAAATCAACGCCGAGTAAAAAATATGCGTCCGAAAATACATCTTCGAAAACACGAGATATTTTTGAAAACGCACATGGTGTCTAAAAATCCCAAGGGTTAAGATAATAAATTCTTCTAATTTTTTTACTAGGTTATTTTTTGCAGTTTTTATTAAATTTGGCCTACACTATTTTATCAATCATTTCTTTCAACACTAAAAACCCCTAGCGTAGTCACCTTCATTAACATTACCCATTTTCACTCGTATTCACTGTAATCTTTATCATCTTTTTCCTCCATCTTTTTTATCACTCATATGTTCATATTTTGCTACTTCATTTTTTTTCTCTATCAATCTCTATTTTCTCTTATCACAATTGCAAATTGGATCTTGAAAATCACATTCTATAAAATCTTTAAATGATAAATATATGCTTTTTGTTATGATTTTTTCTTCATTTAAAAAAATTTTCAAGTCAAATTTATCCACTTACATAATTTTGTAAGTTAGATACATGAGTTTATAATATTAATTATATAAAAGTTTTAAAATTTTATGTTTCTGTTTGGAGATTATGTTTATATTTTTTCTGTTAGGTTCTAAACTCTAGACATAGATTTAGGCTTAACATTTCTTTGAGTATCAATTCTTAATAATCTGTGTTGCAGAGTTACGCGAGACATCACCAATAAGACAATATATTTGTTCTCTCAACGTTGTTTTAAACATAGTCTCTATTGTGGGTGATACGTGAGGATATTAGACGAA